TTCAGCAATAGCTGGTTTTTAAAAAGTTAAAGATGTGTTGTGCCTTAGAAGGAAAGAATATGAACCAGACTCCTCTGGTGTTTTGCATTTCTTGGGGGTTCCTGTATGTTTTTCTGAATTTAATTGAAGTTCCCCTTCACATTTTCAGTTTTTAATAGCTACTGTAAAATTGTTGGAGCCCACTGAGAATTATTGTGACAGAACTTCATGGGGCTGTCCAGACCCTTGGCTGGGGTTTGACATAAAATATTTAGATGAGATATTATTTAAAAGAAAGGCCCGATACCTTTTTAAAGTCAGTTTAATTATTATATATTTTTTTTAATATAAATGTTGTGTGTTGTGTCTTAGGTCCTTGTTTTTATTCCAACAGTCCTGAGAATTAGTGGTAATCCATTTTTCCCCCTTTTCAGTATCATACTACTTTTGTTTGAAATAAAAAAAAAAACACTGATGTAAGTACCTTAATTTGATGGTAATCATTTTTATTGATATTTATGAACCTGCACAACCACAGTGTTCAGAGGTGTTAAACATGTTAAACTTCATTTATGAAATTTAACCCACATTTGAATATTAAAAGCCCCCCTTATAAATTAAATGCATATTAATCTTCTTGGTGTGACATGATTGTAATATGGATTGCCAATTTTTACCATTTTCAGTTTTTTTCTGGCCCTCCACTGAAATGCCAGTGAGAGTTTGGGGGGGGGGGCGCTGTCTCATTGTTATAGGGTATAACCTGTGTCTCAAGTCCTGCTTTAGGATTCAGAATAGTAGTTTGATATTCATAATTTGGGTTGAATTGCTTCCTGACCATGTGACATCTGTCAGTTTTTAGCAGTGTGCCTGTAACCACATATGGAAAGATGCACCAGAAAGTTCATAAGATAATCAAGTACAAAAGCACTTTGGTGGCTGTGGTCAAACTCTATACTTCAGAAACCAGTGGTTCTGTTTTGAGGCCCAGTTAAAAAGTACTTTTTTAAATTGTCGTTATAATTTTATTTTTTTAACAGGAATCTGTTATACTGAGTATTCAGCTAACAGTAAATCACACATCTGTCACTGCATCTGTCTCAAAATATTGATACATTGGAACATGGCACTTGTTTTAAAAATTTTAATATTTTATGGTATATTATATTTTCAAATATTTAATTCTGAATTACTTTGGCAGGTGATATTTATGCTCGTGACATCCGTAAACATCAAGACACAATCCACTGATACTTTACCCCCCTTTTGCCCAAAGAATTACTTAGTACTAAAACTAAAAAATGTACTAAAAACCTTGCATCCATCCATTCAACATCTATTATAAAATATATGAAGTACTAGCTTTTTAATAGTGTGGACTGTGAGTGATTTTTTTTAATAGTTCATTAATCATTATACAACAGGACACTTCCTAACACAATCGTGACCCATTTAATTGTCAAAGGATGAGGGACCAGAAGATGGCAGTGTTGGATAAACTGCATAAAGTTTTCACTTCTGATGCAGGATAAACAAGTAACTATTTGAAATTTACAGAGACTTATTAAATCTGCTCCTCTATTTTTAGCAACTATATATCCAGCTACTTTTATTATCTGTGTATGTATGCAGTTATAGGTCAAGGCAGGTGGATTGTCTGATCTTTAAACACCAGAGAGGGAAGACAATAATGGATGTCTGGAAGTGGCATTGTACTGGGTGTGTGTGTGTGTGTACCTTTAATCCTTAATATGTCCTATTGTACAACATTAACAACATTGGACAATGAAACTGAAATGGGCTAATAGTGTTTGAGGTTTCACGCCTGTATACTTGCAGCCTGGTGGTTAATCTTCACTGATTCCATCATTAATAATGGAGTATGAAAGTTGGATTAGCAGAGCAATAGCACAGCACACAACATAATGGGACATATATCAGAGCTCAAAAGAGGACAAATTGTTAGTGTGCGGCTCGCTGGTGCATTTGTGACCAGGGCAGTAAGTCTTTGTGGTGTATCGAGAGCCATGGTATAAAGGCTAATGTCAGCATACCACCACGAAGGACGGACCACATCCAACAGGAGTTACTGTGGATGCAAGAGGAAGCTGTCAAAGGAATGTTCGAGTACTAACCCGGATTATATCCAAAAAACATAAAATTGCACCTGCCCTACTCACTGCAGAATCATATGTGCACCTCAACTCTCCTGTTTCTACCAAAACTCTTCACTGGGAGCTCCACAGGGTCCGTATTCATGGTCAGGCTGCTATACCAAACCTTTGGACACTCATGCCAATTCCAAATGTCTGTTTCAATGGTGCCAGCAGCGCAAATCTTGGGCCGTGGACAATGTGAAACATGTTTTGTTCTCTGAGTCCACCTTCATGGTCTTTCCATGGCTTACCATGCACCACTGAGCTGGATCAGTGAAGCTTTGGGCTGCAATGTCACGGCATTCCCTAGGCCCACTACTTGTTCTAGATGGGGATGTCACTGCCAAGGACTACTGAACCATTCTGGGGGACCATGTTCACCCAGTGGTTGAAACATTGTATCCTGAAGGTGGTGCCATATATTGCAATGATAATGAACCAATGCTCTCAGCAAGACTGGTGATAGAGTGGTTTGATGAACATGAAAGGGAAGCTCAGCATCTCCCACGGCCAGCAAACTTAACGGAACTGAATTTTATTGAGCCACTTTGGGATGTTTGGAGGCACGAGTCAGGAAACATTTTCTTCCACCAGCATAACGTAGTGACCAGGCCACGGCTCTGCAAGAGGAATCGCTCAAAATCCCCCTGGCCACTGCAAGACTTTATCTGTCAATCCCAAGATGAACTAATGATGTATTGCAAAAAGAGGCCCTACATCATACTAATAAATTATTGTGGTCTAAAACCAGGTGGTTCAGTTTCTTTGTCTAACCCCGGTACCTTAATGCTCATTACATGTGAGCTACATTTTATTTTTAATGGTGGTAACCTAACTCTTAAACACAGTGTTTCTGAAATGGTTAGGGGTGGTGCAATGGTTAGCACTGTTGCCTCCCACCTCTGGGACCAGGGTTTGAGTTTCCACTGTGGTTCTGTGTGTGTGGAGTTTGCATGTTCTCCCCCTGTACTGTCATGGGGTACTTTGGTTTCCTTACATATCACAAACAAATTAATTTTTGTATAGCACATTATCACAACATTACATTGTCTCAAAGCGCTTTACAGCATCCCCACCCAAAGCCCCCAGTGAGTAAGCCAGAGGCACCAGTGGCAAGGAAAAACTCCCAAGAAGGAAGAAACCTTGAGAGGGACCAGACTCAAAGGGGGAGCCCATTCTTCTGGGGCCGGCAGGGAGAGTCAAATCGGAGAGATGGCTAAATGCCAAGTCACACTGTCTAAGTCATAAGATTTGAGTCACAACCGGGGAGCAGGGAGGTGATGACAAGCCAGTGTTGGCGCTCCTTCAGATCGCCGGGCACACAGGAGTAGGGGAAATAAAATATGCAATTAGTCAAAGTAGGGGAGACTGTAGGCAGTGCTAACAGTTAGGTGAGTGCAATATGAAGTGCAATGTGCAAGCTCTGGCAGATATGGCTATGGCAGCATAAGTAGGAGGGAGAGGCAGGTGGGAATGCAGGCATGGGGAGTCCCTGAAATGTCAGCACTCCAGTTCCACAAGTGATTGTGAAGCTAGAGTGATTGCACTGACAGTTCAGTTCATCCAAAGCCAATGGCACCGATCCCCACCCAGCTCTACACCTCACACAATAGGTCTAACTGGGAGTGAGGAGTTAGCTAGAGCTAGAACTAGAGTCCATATAAGCTAAACTAAACAGGTGTGTTTTTAGTCTAGACTTGAATATTGAGAGTCCACAATCCATAAACACGCTGAAGTTAATAGCAGTTACCAAATTGCCTGCAGGTGGTCATGTGTGAGTGTGCCCTGTGATGGGTTGGTGCCCCATCCTGGGTTGTTCCCTGGCTTGTGCCCTGTGACGCGTTGGTGCCCCATCCTGGGTTGTTCCCTGGCTTGTGCCTGCAGCCCCTGGTGACCCTGAATAGGACACATGAGTACAGAAAATGGATGGGCGGGTTAATTTTATTGCTTACTGAACGATATAATTTTGAATAGTATTTGAAGTGAGTATAAAATTAGTTTGAGTGACTGGAGGTCCATTCATGATGAACAGGATTGTATTATGAAGTGTTCTGTCTTATTCGATTCTACCTTCTGGAATGCATGTCCTCCTCTGGCCACAATCCCATAATTCCTCAATGATGTTTTGGGAAAGGAATTTTTTTGAGTTAAAATGGGTGGGAAGGAAGTCACAGGAATGAAGCTTTAAAATGAGATGTTTATTACAAGGAGCCTTTGAAAGCAACAAACCAGACCTTCGTATTCTTTCAGACATCTGACACTATCATATTTATATCTAAACAAAGGCAGTCTTCACTGTGTTCGACATATGCATGTACTCTGGACCGTCTGGTTTGCCACAGAATGGTGTTAATGTGGGTTATCTGTGGCTCTCAAAGCCGGATTCAGATCAAATTTGATAAAGCAACAATAACTGCACTCATGCAGTCCTCCAGCAAGGCGTCACAGTATATGAGGTTATATTGTGTTATATTTGTTAGGTATTCATTCAGTACCCTATATTTGTCACCACCACTACCTTTCAATGCTTTACAGATGGCACGGTTTATCATTTTAAAATATATTTCTGCAGGTAAATTTCTCCCAGTAAATGTGCATTATAGTGTTTTCCATTCATAGCCTAAGAACATCTCAGTAAACAACAAAGAACTATCTAGAACTTATTTTACAAGAAGGCGGTGCACTCGACCGGTGCATTTTTTTCGATCTGTCATACCTAGACAAAAGAACCAAAACCGGATTAGAATAGATTTGTATAATAATTCTATACATTTCGACCCTGACGCTACGCAAATATATATATGTCATACAAACGTAATGCTCGCTCGTACACCAGCTGTGGAGGACGTTCTGTCACTTCACAAATGCAGGTTGGTGGGTTCGAATCCAATTCCCCTGTTTTGCGAAATTTCTCAGTGTATTCCGGCTTCTTTCCACTGTACAAAGCACGAAAATAGGTCAATTGATGTCTAATCTTTTTGTAGTGACTGACTGTGCGTATATGTGCTCTGCGGTGAACTGGCATCTCCAGCCTTGTGCCCCATGCAGGCTCCAGCTCCCCTCCTCGCCACTTGACGAAGATGTGAGGTTTGGAAGACGAATGAATATACTGCGAGTCACAAGTAGGCCTAGTTTCATTTAATGACTTACTGTTTTATATGACTTTATAACTTTATTTTTTATTTTTTAAACAAAATAAGTCAGCTGCCCATCTTCCAACCACCTGCTCGTTCGGAGTCGCGGGCACTTAAAGTTGTCATAACAAATACAACAGGTTTGGTACTTTTATTTCAAACATATGGCGGACAGGTTGAACACAAACCAGACCAGAGAAGGTGATAACTACTGATGAAGGGGATGGATGCGCCGTCTGTACTCTGCACTGGACCGCGGAGCAGTTTGAAACGGTCCTGTCACATTGCTGGCGGGGGTAACTGGGATAGATCTGTAGCCATTGGCAACTGACTAAACCTTGTAAACAAGTCACATATGCTGCGACATTAGTTATAAAAGTTGGTTATTAAGGATGATATAAGGGCACCTCGGCACTGTCACGCCACAACTCCCTATCATCGGTACCGGCTACAAGCATTTTCGGCCGAGACTGAGCTGCTACCGGCCCCGCTCTGCTTTATGAGCGCCAGGAAACCGGGACGCGTTATCGTGCTTGTTTCTGAGCCAGCCAGGACGGCATCCCTGCCGAAACCCCAAATCGGATCACATATGCAGTCGGTTATTATTACATAAATGCATCCTTTGATTAACATCAATAAATTTATCTTTTTGCTAAAATCCAAATATTTTAAATGATACGGAATCGTTTAAATTATAAATAAGGAAACATATAAATGTGTCATTCGAACCGTCCTGAACTCGTCTGTTACTTTGTACCACAATAATCCAGCAGTGAAAAAATCGGTTTCCCCTCCCCTTCCCCTCTCCGTCAGGTCCTAAAGCCGGCCCTCCGGCCCTCCGCCGCAGCTCGCAGCAGCCTGCTTCACCCAACAGTGGGAGCGCCGGGCTGTCCGCAGAGATCGCAGTTTCTCCGGGAGGCAGCCTCAGGATAGAGACCGGGCCGCGGGCGCTGCGAGGTAAGCAGACGATGTGTCGGCGGCGGCGGGGCCGGGGCGTCCCCTGCGCCCGTACCGGCGCTTAAAGTGCCCTCCGCGGCAGGACTCGGCCGGTCCTAAAGCCAGCCATTTTGAGCACAGCCGGCAGAAGCTGTCATGGGCTCGGCTGCTACCTGCATCGGCGCCGGATGGTTTTATTCCAACATCAGTATCATTTCCTTTGTCCGCGAATAAAGGATAAATCGGAGTGGTGTATTTAATGCGATGCGGTTTTTTTTTACTTTAAAAGCTGTGGGGTGTATTTTGCTCAATTGTCCCCTGTGGTCCTAACGCCGGCCATTTTGTTATTTGTGCACAGCGCGTTCACAAAAATACCAAGCAGTTTTAAAGAGGCAATACGGCCACCGGCTAAACCACACTGATCTGCCTGGAGATGTCCAGTAACGTGTCAAGCGCTCCATAAATACTATTAGGAACTGCTTTTTACAGATGGCAAAACCATAACGAAGTTTCATGGTGTAGTTAGTGTTATGTTCATTTTTGCACAGCAGTTGTAACATGACCTGTTTTGTCTTCAACTTGTTTTAAATAGTGGAAACTGATGCAGATAAGAGATGTGTGTCCCATTCTCTCATATCCATCCTACTGTAAATGGATTTCTGTCTCTTACTGTAATTTAAAATGTCACATTTAATTTCCACCCTTTTTTGTATTTTGTAGACCTGCAAGAGAAAGAGATTGTATTGAATAAAATGGATTCCTCTCAGCTGGACAGTCTGCCACTTGCAGGACAAGATAACCTTCCAGCTTCTGGAAACGATGAATCCAAAGGGGGGGAGAAACCAAAAAAAGAGACAAAAGAGCAACCTAGGAAACGGAGAGGTAGGGGGCGCCACCTGAAGGCCAAGTACTCTTACAAATGCCCGGCCTGCAAGGAGGCTTTTCCCAGCCCCTCAGCACTGCGCAGTCACAAGGTGTCTGCGCACGGCAAGGAGGGCAGACTGCATGCATGCACCAAGTGCGAGAAGACGTTTGGCAGCTCGGCGCAGCTGCTCAAACACCAGCGCACTCATTCCTCCCAGCGGCCCTTCCAGTGCCACCAGTGCCACAAGGCTTACAAGACGCCCACGGAGCTGCGTAACCACTCGCGCTCTCACACGGGCGAGAAGCCGTTCGTATGCACAGAGTGCGGCAAGGCCTTCATGCAGGCCATCTGCCTGCGCATCCACATGACGCAGCACAGCGGGGAGCGGCCGCACTCCTGCCCCCACTGCTCCAAGAGCTACCCCACGCTGTCCAAGCTGAAAGTACACCAGCGCTCCCACACAGGCGAGAAGCCTTACTTCTGTACCGAGTGTGGCAAGAGTTTCGCCGACCCCTCTGTGTACCGTAAGCATCGGCGCAACCACCAAGGCCACCGGCCGTACTCCTGTGGCCAGTGCGGCAAGACGTACACGGAGCTGAAGGATCTGAAGAACCACGAGCGCTCGCACACAGGCGAGAAGCCCTACCTGTGTTCCGACTGCGGAAAGGCCTTTTCCCGCTCGTCCTCGCTGGCCTGCCACGTGCGCATTCACTCACAGAGTAAGCCCTACCAGTGTGAGCAGTGCGGCAAGGGCTTCACACAGCTCTCATCCTACCAGTCTCATCTGCGCACACACTCCGGCGAGAAGCCGTTCCTATGCCCACAGTGCGGAAAGATGTTCTCCGATCCCTCCAGTTTCCGCCGCCACCAGAGGGCACACTCGGGCTTTAAGCCGTACCCCTGTGATAAGTGCACTAAGCGCTTCCGGCAGCCGGCTGACCTAGCGGTGCATCAGAGGGTTCACTCTGGACAGCGGCCGTACAAGTGCCAGAGTTGCGACAAGGCCTTCGTTGCGTCCTGGGACCTGCGCCGCCACATGCTGGTGCACACGGGGCTGCGGCCATTCTCCTGCTCCGAATGCGGCAAGTCCTTCGCTGAGCGCTCCAGCTTGAACAAGCACCGGCGGGTGCATTCGGGAGAGCGGCCCTTCAAGTGCGGCCTCTGCTTCAAGGCATTTGTGGTCTCGTCCAGCCTGCGCAAGCATGAGCGGACGCACCTGGCCGAGCGTGCCCCGGAGCAGCCGCAGCCTGGTCAGAGCCCCGCCACTGTGCAGCCCTTCTCCATCTCGCTCTCAACTCCCACCACCCTGCCCCAGTTTTCCTGCTCCCACTGTGACGTCACCTTTGGCACGTGGGAGGAGGTCCAAGCTCATGAGAGCCTCCACGCCGTACCTCCTCTGTCATCCGCAACTGTCTCCCTGCCCATGGGTCAGCACGTGTGCCCGCTCTGCCAGGCCGAGTTCAGCCAGCTCTCCGAGCTGCGTGCCCACGAACGGACACACCGCCCTCACATCTGCGACAGCTGTGGGAAGGGCTTCATGAACAAGGCCGGTCTGCGCAAACACCAGCGTATCCACTCCACAAACCGGCCTCACGTGTGCCAGCACTGCGGCAAGGCCTTCCTATTTGCAGCCTATCTCCGGAAACACTTGCACACTCACCAAGACTCGCTACCCTCTCCACCTCAGGCTCGCGCCCAGATCGAACAGGCCCTGACGTCTACATCAGCACCCGACACGGGTCTGCCAGCCTCCACAGAAAGCGAGGGCATCTCCCTGGCCGTTCCTGTGTCGGTGTCCCTTTCAGCCTTCCAGACAGTGCCAGCTACGGTGTATATAGAGAAGGTCGAGGGCCTCTGAGGCAGCCTCGAGCTGCACTGAGGCATCTTTCCCTCAAACTCTTACAGCATCATTCTTTATTAAACAGCTTCTGTTTATGTGTAGTGCATATACCCCAAGAGGCAGTTTAATTTTGTGTACACACATAACCTATTTTTCTCTATAGCGGACTAAGTATCTCAATGTTTTATGTGTGAATTTTTGTATTACTTGTTTTTGAGAAAAATAAAGTTCCGCTGTTTATTTTGCTGGTTTTAAAATAGCAGACCCCCTCCCCCAATGATAGAGGGTACAGCTTATTAAAACCGTCTGTTCAGGTACACGCTGCATTTTTACTGGTTTGTGCTTCTTGGTCATTTAATCTCCAAATGAACTACATATTATGTCATTACGGCACATTATTTATGTGAGCATATCTTTTTACTGCAAAGCAAACCTCATTATTGCTTTACAAAGGCCAGAGTTTCAACTCAAAACTTCAAAAGCCACTGAATATAAGGTATAGTATTTAAGTGCCGTCCTTCAGCCGATCATTCATTGTTCATCTTTTACGTTAGAAGCACGGTGGCTGGCCCAGCTGTACTTTAAGGTTAATGTTCTGCAGGTACATGAGTGTTTCCTTGGGAAATTAAAAGCAATCCATCTTTTCAGTTTTGCTTTATCCAGACTGAATTCTTATTACTGCAGGTAATGCCTGATTTCCATGCTCTCTTTAGACTGATGTTGATCAAATATCTTAGTTAACCAAGGTACCTGTAGGTAAAGGAAGACATTCGAAACTAATGTCATGAGCTGGTTTGCGGTGGGTGGGAATACAGCTGAATCCTGACTCATGGTTTGTAAATCACTAAAAGTGTGTTTAAAGATGCCAATCATCAAGTAATATGTACTTTATAATGGAGTTTTTAAGGGGATGTTGGAGGGGTGTCTCAGTCAAAGACTGACTCTTAACCCTTCAGCACAAAGCCTGCCAGGGAGCCCAGCTATTAAACACATACTGAGCTACTACTCCGCATTTAAGGACAGCTGCGGGGATGTGATACATATTCATCAAGTTGTTAAAATAATGGCTTTTTATGCATCACTGCCGTAAGGGTCTGTGAAACAGGATGACTCAGCGATCCCATGATTATTATTTAATAAACAGTTAATTTTAATCATCAAACCCTGTACTTAAGCTCCAGTTGTGACTGTTAAAGTAGGAAACATGCATAATCAGAACCCTGGCAGTGCAGGCCGGCTCTGACATGAGATTCTCGAGTCGTTTGTCTGTATGTCTGCGGTTCGTATCTGGGAAGCACAAGCCCTTGTTATTGCCATTTCTCATTGTTCAGCAAAAATACTTTTTTTTCCCAAAGACACTGCAAGAGTGTTTTTGTCTGATGTCTTTCAGTTTAAGTATTTCTTTGGGGTGAAATCTCTACTCGAAGCTTGCCGAAAGCCTTGATATCTAATGGATTTTATCCTGGAAACCCCATTGGGTTGGGGTGACTGTTTTATGAGATACACTGACGGAAAAATTGGGAAAATTGGTTTTCATACACAGTTTATATGTGAAAGTGTGATTTGTAATGGTTTTCAACAAAGACTTTACCAATGATATGAAATTTTAAGCCAAACAGCATCTGTTTTTTTGTAAATGCCTAACACTGTCCCATTTGTATGTTTAAATTAGAAGTATTTTCCATTTTGCCAAGCAATTGTCTACTTGACCAAAATAAGACCAATATGGTCATGTTTCACCTTTGTGGGTAACTTATTGGAATGTGACCAGTGGTCACTGAAAAATCAGAGATCAACATTCTCTATATAGAATACTGGCTTTTCTAAGCTGCCATTGTTCCAGTTTTTTATTTGTAATTGAATGCATTATTCTGAATTTTCGTTGATACTATAAAAGCATAAATATCTTTTAAAGATTTATGAGCAGAGGGTTACATTAATCAGTGTGTGTGTGTATAGGGGGGGTTAAAGGCTCTGAAGGATATATAACTATTGGAAATGCTGCATTCAGCGATTGCCTTGCTCAGGCAGGGTCTCTCAGAGAACGGCTGGATGAATGAGGCCCCCCAATGGTCTGCCTGCCGTCGGCTTCTTCACCCTCAAGCTTTCTCAGTTATCTGGTCACATGCGCCTGCAGCCTGCTCCGCTCCACAGCGCCGGACCTGTGCTGCCCATTGTAACGCATATCTATCAGTGACAGTCGCTGCAATCAGAGCCTTTCCCAAGCTGAGCTCTGGCTGTGGTCCAGGGGACGTCCCCTCCTCAGTGCACCTGCTTGGCCAGGAGTCTTATCAGCCCCTCGAATGTAAATCTCCTGAGGAGCTGAAAAGGCTGTCAGGGCTGTCCTTGGTGTGATATAGTGACTGTCCCGCTTTCATTACATGCCTCCCTCCTCCCCCTTTTCTGCATTGTCAGTGCTGTGCCGCAATATGGGCTGATGCAGCGATGGCTGCGAGGTTTCATCAGCCTGTTCTAGCTTCTCGGGGACCCCTGACTGCAGCCCTGCTGAATGTGTCAGCTGCCCTCTTCCTTCTGGCTGTGCACACCTGTGGCCTTACTTTGTGCTCCCTGGGCTGTGCATGCCTATGGCCTTACCTTGTGTTCCCTGGGCTGTGCATGCCTATGGCCTTACCTTGTGTTCCCTGGGCTGTGCATGCCTGTGGCCTTACCTTGTGTTCCCTGGGCTGTGCATGCCTGTGGCCTTACCTTGTGTTCCCTGGGCTGTGCATGCCTGTGGCCTTACCTTGTGTTCCCTGGGCTGTGCATGCCTGTGGCCTTACCTTGTGTTCCCTGGGCTGTGCATGCTTGTGGCCTTACCTTGTGTTCCCTGGGCTGTGCATGCTTGTGGCCTTGCCTTGTGTTCCCTGGGCTGTGCATGCCTGTGGCCTTGCCTTGTGTTCCCTGGGCTGTGCATGCCTGTGGCCTTGCCTTGTGTTCCCTGGGCTGTGCATGCCTGAAATCCTGGACATTCCTTTAGCAAGTAGCTCCTTCAACACTGCAGGTCCTTTCCATTAGATGATGAGCTAATAGCAGATAGGTTACCCCACACATGCTCATTATCCCTGGTAGGGTCTGTCTCTTGGTCCTCAGTGCCTCTTTGGCAGTCAAGGAAAATTATCTTCATGTTGCTGTAAAGTACAATATTAAGTGTCAAAGTGTGTTACCCTAACCCTATCAAAACCACGAGCGTTAGATGTTTGACAAAAAAATTCTCCATTAAGATATTTTACTAACTAATAAATACGGTGGTGAAATATAACTAATACATGGAACGGCTAGGGTGCCTTTGAGGAGAGGTTTGGTAACCAAAGCGGTGTTCATCTAGCTAGAACAAGATATCAGTAACTTTTCTGGAGAATTTCTTGTTAGTTTTTACTATGTTAACTTAATGTTAGACTGTGTGTTATTTCTAAGCAAATATACACTTATTAGCTAGATAAATAGTTAAGCATTTTCTTTGGCTTCCTTCTGCACAGCAGCACGCACATTGAGTGGGAGACGCCATAACTCATTTAGATAGAAAGGATCTGCTACAGAAAGTGAGGAGCAAATGGCTGGTTTTCACTTACACTCTGCACAACAGTGTGCTACTGGAAAGTGAGGCAGAGGGAAGCTACAAAATGAGAAACTGATAAGGAAGAAAGAAGGGTTTCTAGATGTTAGGCTTTCCTTATATTTAGGTATAAAAACCCACTGAAGTGCTGGTGTGCCAGGAAAGATGCAGGGTCTCCATGAGATAAGTGGATTAAGTGGATGAAGTCCAAATACTCGTGGTATACCCTGGAGAATGAAGACAGAAGCTGTCAGGGGCAGATAGAGGGGATGGCAGGGGGCTCTGGGGGGCTGTCGGGGGCAGATAGAGGGGATGGTAGGGGAGCTGTCGGGGGCAGATAGAGGGGAGGGTAGGGGAGCTGTCGGGGGCAGATGGAGGGGAGGG